GACTCTAGGGAAATGAAATATCATGGTCCCAACCTCACTCTGAGCCATTCAGCTACATTCTAGAATAAAGGTCTGGAAGAAAATTTCTTGCTTGTCTTTGTGGCCTCCCCATCTTCTCAGGGAGATTTACTTCCTTCATGAAGGATGCCATCTCCGGTGGGGGGGGGCATTCTCTCCACCCCATTCTAGTTGTTAACAGGTCTTGTTACTTTTCTCTTTCAGGTGACCTTGTCTTTGTGTAGCTCCATTGTCTGGGCTTCATTTAAAACCAGTAACCATGAAGGTATTTTCTGTTTCCTTGTTGGCCTTGTCCTCTGTGGAGATTAGGTGTGTGACACATTCTAAGACCTTAACAGACAGGGCTCTCTCCCTTTCCTTCTGCACCTTTCACATACTGAATCCTAAAAACAACTCTGAGAAATATGGATAATAATCATTTCTTCAAATGAAATTATAAGCTCAGACAAATTTAGTAATGTATCCAGGTCACACAGCAACTAGCAAGCTATAGATAATGTGAACCCAAGATTGTCTTCATCAAAGTTATATTTGAGATAAACATTGTATTATTTACAAATCATAATTTTTCTGATTACTGGCATTTTTGATGTCTTTCTCAATCTTTGAGGAAAAGATTAACTTTTAATTCAATTCCTGTAACTGTGCCATAGTAAAAAAAAAACCCACACAATTCTACATTCTTAGAGTTATATACATTTATTAGTTTCCTGTTGCTATGGTAAAAACAGTCTACAAACAGTGACTTATATTGACACAGATTATTCTCTAAAAGTTTTGAAGGACAGACATTTAATGGGGCCATAATAAAGATGTCAACACTAGGCTGTTTCCTCTTAGACCAGTGATTCTCAACCTGTGGGTCACAACCCTTCTGGAGTCACATGCTCCATTTATTAGATATTTAGATTATAATTCATAACAGTAGCAAACTACATTTATGAAGAAGCAAAGAAATAATTTTATGGTTGGGGATTACCCCAGCATGTAGAACTATATTAAAACATTAGGCATCAGGAAGGTTGAGAACCACTGTCTTAAACACACTAAAGGAGAAAATATATTTCCTTGGCTTTTTTTTTCGGTTTCCAATGGCCTCTAATATCCTTTGGGTTATGGCCTGTTTCTCTATCTACAAAGTATATAACTTAAATCTACTTTCATCATAGTATATTCTCCCTTCCATAGTCAAATCTTTTTCCACTTATCTCTTCCTCCCCTGCTTCTCTCCCTCATTGTGGTGTCAGTGAATGAACCCAGCCCTCTGCATATGCTAGGCAAGTGTTCTACCTTGGAACTATGTCCTCAGTCCTCTATTTCTCTTTTATAATATCATTTGTGTATGTAGGGCCTGCCCACATACATGATAACTTATATTCCATGATCCTTGACATAATCATATATTGAAACTCTTTTTGGGCATATGCAGTAACATTTCCAGACAGCAGAGATTGGGTTGTCAAGATCTTTAGAGGTTATTCTGTCCTAATTAGTGTTGCCAATGAGACAGCCTAGATCTTCGGAGTACCAACTAGATAATGTCTTTATCCGGTTAGTTTGTAAGCATGGCTTTGGGGGATTGTCTTGATTATTAACTGATTCAGGAGTTTCCAGCACACCATGAGTGGCACCATCCTTATGCAGGTCATCCTGGGCTGGATAAGGAAGCTAGCTCAGCACGGGTCTCTGAGCAAGCAAGGAGAGCCTGTGAGTGAGACAGAAAACTATATTCTTCATGAAATTTCTCCAGATTCCTGCCTCAAGTTCCTGCCTTGACCTTTTCTCAATAATTGGTCATGACCTGGAAGTGTAAGCCCATAAACCCTTTCTTCCCCAAGTTGATTTTAGTCAGAGTGTTTCATCACAGCAACAGAAGGAAACTAAAACACTGTCCACTACTCACTCTCAGTACCGAGACCATGGCACCATCTCCATGGGCCCTTCTGTTTGCTCAAATGCTGCTCTCCAACAAGATGTGTCTCTCTCTGCCTGGCCTTCTTGCATACTCACATCTTTATGTCCATTTTGTTTATGCAGTAGCAAACACCTGCTTCTTTAACAGCATGACCAATTATGTGAAACCTCTTTACTTTAACATATTTTTGTTTCTCTGATACTCTCATTAACTGTCTTTTTTATCCAACTACTTTATTACTATCTTTCAAATTCTGTTTTGTCCTATTTTTAAAATTTATTTTATTTTAATTAAAATGTAATTATCTAATTATCCCATTTCATTTCTTTTTTTCATTTTTCTTTATTAAGAAATTTTCTACTCATTCTACATACCACTCCCAGATCCCCCCTCCTCCCTTCTTCCACCCTTCAACCTTCCCTCCCTAGCCACCCCACATCCCCACATCCCTACATCCCCCAAATCAAGGTCTCCCATAGGGAGTCAGCAGAGCCTGGCACACTGTACCTAAGCAGGTCCAAGCCACTCACTGCACCAGGGCTGCGCAAGTCATCATACCACAGTCCTCCCAAAAGCTTGCCCATGTAAGAGGGATGGATCCCGATCCCCCTGCCTGGGTGCCCCTCAAACAGTTCGAGCCAAACAACCATCTTCCATATCCAGAGGGCCTAGTCCAGTCCCATGGGGGCTCCACAGCCACCAGTCCACAGTTCATGGGCTTCCTATAGTGTGGCTGGCTCTTTTCATTTCTTTAACCCCTCCTATATCCCTCTCCCAACACTCTCTCAAATTCAATGCCTCACCCCTTTTTATTTGATTATTATTGTTACACATATATAAATTCATAAATATATAAAAACAACCTGCTGAACCCTTTCAATGTTGCTTGTGAGTATGATTCCAGAGCTGATAGGCTATACCCATGTTACCTCAACATTATGGCTACCTATATAAGACATGAGCAATGAACAATAGCACCAATAGACAAGTTTATGTGGAACAGGAAAATCTCATAGTGCCCACCCCTAGACAAAGAACTACAAGCAACTAAATACTGCTAAGAGAAGGAGAATTAGTCTTTCCTGGAGGTGAGCTCCTGAATTAGCTATACAATATCCAGTAGTCAGGCAAAGTTCTTCCTTTTGAAGAAAACCTTCCCTTGTAAGATTGTCTAGTCTTGATCCCTTCTGGTACCCCAACAGCCAACTATGCTTGACACACTTGTGATCCCTTTAAGAATATTTCATGCCCAGTGGTGATGGTGCAAGCCTTTAATTCCAGCACTTGGAAGGCAGAGCCAGACGAATCTCTGTGAGTTCAAGGCCAGCCTGGTCTACAGAGCGAGATCCAGGACAGACACCAAAACAACACAGAAAAACCCTGTCTCAGAAAAAAAAAGAAGAATATTTCACTTTCTGTGACATCCTCAACTAACATCTTAGTTTAGCAGAAAGTCTCACACTTAGTGAAATGATCAGTGATAGTTTACTGAGTTGGAAAATTAGCTAATGAGTAGACATGTTAAGGGTAGAGACTTGGTTAAACTTTAGGGAGAATTTTACAATAAATAGTACAAAAATACAAAAGGGCATTTTGTGCAGAGACTTTCCAAGTAACTGTGAAATTAGGGAGAGCACTCTCCTGGGAGTGCATGGGGAAATCAGGTAGGGATGCTGTGTTCTTGGAAACATCCTTTCTGGAACGTGATCTTATGATCTGTAACATTTGGTGCCTAGTCTAAGCACATATCACAAAAGGGAGGCACATGATAAACATCTGAGAATACTTGATCCATGCCTCAGTTCATACTGAGTACAGTCACTCTGCTCTGTCTATGTAGAAGTTGGCAGTTGCCTGAGAGAGAGAGAGAATCAATTGTTTTTAAAAATGGCCACAAGAAAATATGATATTTGAATGAGAAATTATAAGAACATTCTCTTGTACATGGGAGGCATGCTGGATGTCATCAATAGCACAATGCTAGGGTAAATTTGTTTCCTTATGAAGCCTTTGGAGAATGTTTACTTAGGAGGATGGCTATATTTTTCATTTAATTAATTTCTTTATTTTGCACCCCAACAGCAATTTTTCCTGCCGTCATAGTTTTCTTGGCTTTCTTCAAGGGATTTATTGATTTCTTCCAATTTTTTGTCTTTTCCTTGATTTCTTAAGGGAAATTTTCAGTTCCTCTTTAAAGGCCTCTAGCATCTTCATGAATTTATTTATTTATTTATTTTTTTTTTTTTTTTTTTTGGTTTTTCGAGACAGGGTTTCTCTGTGTAGCTTTGCGCCTTTCCTGGAACTCACTTGGTAGACCAGGCTGGCCTCGAACTCACAGAGATCCGCCTGCCTCTGCCTCCCGAGTGCTGGGATTAAAGGCGTGCGCCACCACCGCCCGGCATGAATTTATTTTTAAGGTCACTTTCTTCTGCTTCTTCTACATTGTGATGTTCAGGTCTTGCTGTTGGAAGAGGGCTAGGTTCTGGTGATGCCATATTGCTCTTTATGTTGTTGTATGTATTTTTGCACTGGTATCTACCCATCTCTTCCTCCAATATGTATAAGAGGTGCCTGTGTCTAAGCAAGCTGCTGTTGGTCCACTCTGTGCTTGTTGTGTCTATGTCTCAGGGGGCCCCTCTGGGTCCAATCTTAGCTCTTGGTCTAATTGCAGCCGGCAGATTCTGTATCTCAGGGAGCTGCTCTTGGTCCAATCCAAGCTAGCTGATTCTGTGGCTCAGAGAGCTGCTCTTGATCTTATCAGGACTCTTGGTCCAGTCAGAGCTGACAGATTCTGTGTCTCAGGAAGCCACTCTTGGTCTAATGAGAGCTGGCGGATTCTGTTTCTCAGGAAGTTACTGGGGTCGCAGGCAGATGGATACTGGGGTAGGGGTGGGTCTTGTACATTGCAGGGTCCGATGGGGGGTTTTAATGGGGGCGGCTGCCCACAGGAGTTTTCCCTGCTGGTCAGCAACTAGGACAAAGTTGAGTGGGGGTTCCCAGGGACTGGCTGTGTCCCAGGGCCTGGGTCCTGAGGCAGGACTCTCTGGGTGGGAGAAGAGTCACTTACCTCTTGATCCAATGAGAGCTGGTGGATTCCATGTTTCAGGAAGTTACTGGGGTCACAGGAAGATGAGTGTTGGAGCAGGGCATGGAACTTGTAGATTGCTGGGTCTGATGGGGGGTTGGTGGGTGAGGCCTGCCCACAGGAGTTCTCCCTGTTGCCTGGCAACTGGGGCAGAGTTGGGTAGGGGTCGCCAGGGACTGGCTGTGTCTCAGGGTCTGGGTCCTAGAGCACTCTTACATGTCTTGATATTCTTCTTCTCCCTAACCAGCAATTTTTCTATTTCAATGCTTTTTTGGGTGGGGGTAGTTTGCTTTGGTGGCTGAATAAGTTTAATTTTGGGTTGTGCATATGAGCATGGGTGAGAGATTATTTACCGGAACAAGGACAATTTTTCAGTGACTACACCATTGAAGAGAGTTTATCCTTGCCTCCTAGTAAGCATCAACTGCCAATAGCTGCTCAAGGAGGCACAGGACCTTGTGAGTCCCTTCTGAATCCAGGATGGACTATTGCTGGGTCCAGTCTTGTACAGGTGATTACAACTGCTGTGAGTTCACATGGGCAGCGGCCGTGGCTTGCCAAGACACTAGCCTTCCACATGACCCTTCCCTTTCCTCCAGCGCTCATTTTCCCCTCCACTTTCTTTTTTTCTGTGATATTTCCTAAGCCTTAGAGGGATGTATAGTATAGATTTTCCAGTTACAGCGGAGAATTCAACAGTCACACATTCTTAGCATGTTCATCAGTTTTGACTCTCTGAAGGTACTGTTGCCCACTTCAAGCAGAAACTCAGATCTCACTTTCTCTGTTGATGTCTTGTTGAGGTAATCCGCTATTGGTCTTTCTAATATGTTCTAAATTCCCCAACGATTGTGTTTTCTTCCACCTACGTAGCTATATACCTATACAATCAATATTTTCCTTTCTGATAAGTAGTTAGACACTGACCACAATGTTTTCTGTCATTATTTATGATTCCAAATACTCATTTCAGATCCTCTGAGAAATCAGCACTAGCTGCTTTGAAACCACACACAGTGTCTGGTACACATTCCAGATGCTGGCTCTCTTTCATGCTTGGCTGCCTCTCTGCCTCAGATTCATTACCACCCACACTACAGTGGGTTGATCTAGGGGAAAATATTATATACTGATTTCCAAGCTTTCTGTTTACGGTTGTTAAGCACCACTCCAGGGTGCTTTTCTTCTAAGTAGATATTAGAGTAAGAGGGATATGTTATCATATTCACTTTTCTGTCATTTAATTGCCATTGCTAACGGTACATGTTACTCTTTGCTCCATGAGGATCCTTCTTATACACTGAATTATCTTGTATGCTCCGAGTTTACATGTTGAGCTCCTATTCCAGTATGTTATAAAGTGACCATATTT